GGGAGCCACATTCTCCCTAGTCTTCCTTTTACTGTTAATGTACTTGAAAAAACCTTTTTTATTATCCTTTATCCCCTTTGCCAGATTTAATTCCAGGCGGGCTTTAGCCTTCCTTGTCGCATCCCTGCAGACCCTGACAACATTCCTGTATTCTTTCCAAGTAGTCAGACCCTTTTTCCACATTTCATGGGCCTTCTTCTTTCCTTTGAGTTTGTGCACGAGCTCCTTGCTCATCCACACAGGTCTCCTGCCACCCTTTCCCGATTTCTTCCTCACAGGGACGCACCAATCCTGAGCTTGGAAGAAGAGCTGCTTAAATGCCGACCAGCTCTCACAGGCCCCCTTGCCTTCCAACACCCTAGCCCATGAGACAGCTCCAACTAGGCCTCGAAAGAGATCGAAGTTGGCTCTCCTAAAGTCCAGGATAGCAATCCTACTTTTTGCTTTACTTCTTCCACTCAGGATCTTGAACTCCACCATCTCGTGGTCACTACAACCCAAGCTGCCCCCGACCTTTACTTCCCTGACAAGCCCTTCTCTATTAGTGAGAATAAGGTCCAGCAGTACCCCTCTCCTTGTCGATTCCTCAACCACCTGCATCAGGAAGTTGTCTTCAACACATTGCAGGAACCGTCTGGACCACGCGTCTGGATCTAAGTATGAAAAAAACCTATTTCCTCTTATCTTTACCTTCCATCTGACTTAAGCATGTTTATTTTCCAAAATGTTTATTTTCCAAACTATGGCTAGCCTTCTTCACAGAACAGTTGGTCCTTAGACTGCCGCAGAAGAACACTGTAGAGCACAGGTTGTCTAAAGCCTATAAGCAAAAAAAAAAAAAAAAAAAAAAAAAACAACAACAAACAAACAAAAACCCAACAAAACAAAACATGGCCTTCCTACACTCTGATAGTATAAAACAGCATCACTCATTGGCGTGTCTGGTTTTACTCCAAGGAACAAACTGGAATGGACTTTGGGTGCCTTACACCTCCCTCCCTCCCTCACAGTGGCCTTAGAGAACAGATGCCTGGAGAAGTAGATTCCTGGAGGATATCAGACTGAATATAACACATATTGAAAACTGTAGTACAAACAGTAACAAAGCAAACAATCTTTCACTTTCTTTTATAAAATATGCCAGGCAATGGCTTCCTGAAGTTTTTAAATAAGATTAAAAAACATTTCCTGTCCAAAGCTTCCTGGTTGGACACTTATTCCATGATGTGAAAATGCCTCACACCATTTCCAATGCCTGTGCTATACTCCATGAACTCTATGAACCCCTGCCATGACCATTTTTCCCATGTTTCATGAGCACGTTTGTAGCACACAAAGTAAACCTATGGGAACAAAACAAAACATATGGAATTAAATACAATAAATATAGCACCGTTCTGATTTTTAAATTTCTGTTCAAATGACATGTACCTCCATTTCTAAAAGGATCATTGGTGCTGGTAGAGGGTTTCAGAAGCCAGAACAGTGCACTATGTTTCTGTACATAAGGAGGGGGTCAAAATGTGATTCTACGACTGACACAGTCATAGAATGGCCTGGGTTGGAAGGAACCTTAAAGCCCATCCAGTTCTAATCCCGTCATGGGCCAGGTTGCCACCCACTAGGCCATGCAACCTAGCCCCTAAAATCTCCAGGGATGCAGCATTCACAACTTCTCTGGGAAACTTGAGAAGTCACACCATTACACTGGCAGCTTCCATGAAGTGACAGTTATTCATGCTCAAAGTTGTTGGATGCAGCATTCTTTCCCTTCTCCCTTCCCCTCTCAGCTTGTATAGACATTTGTTTTGTCTAATTAGATGAACATTATCTCCTGACAGTAGCAAGTTGGCAATACTACAGTCATTATTCCCTACATCCCTATTTAACCAGAGACAGTTGAGAAGAAGTGATTGCAGGGAAGTGAAGTCCTATTTCCCCAGCTCACGATGCCATAGGCAATCAATTCGGAGCAAAGGTTCCATCTTGAAAATGTCAAATAGAATGAAAAAAGGCAAAATCAAAAATGATAAAGTTAGGTCCAGCCATTCCTTCAGGTCCAGATTCTTGTCTGAGTTTTTCTAGCACAGCTGACAGCATAGCTATAGGAAAAACTGCTTTCTGTACCAGTGGGTGCCATGGGGTCCTTGGCCTCAAACCAATTACCCATCTCCCACTCCTACAACACAAGAGAAACTGCTAGAGCACCAGTCCTATCTGGTCAGCCTGAAAAAAGGAGTCTGCTGAGCATGGCTGGAGTCCTCTCTCTTCTGCACCTCAACCAAGTATGCAAGTATGTCAACAGAATTCCTTCCCAGGCCCATTCTTTGCTTCTCTTGCACCAGGGAAGGAAAACAACCAGTACTGAAATACAGATATATCAAAGGACAGCAGAAGCTTCTGCCTGGAAGTGGTATTTTCTTTATAGTATGAACAAACACTCCACTTTCACCTTTCCAGTTCCCCTGAAATTTTCCAGATGCAGTTTAATCCCAGTGTCTCATCAGGATACAGAGTTTTTCCTTTCTCCCATTTTATGTTACAGATCTGAGAAATTACCCATATGGAGAACATGAGGAACAACAGGTCTGTTCCTTTATTGCCTGTACACTGAGGGAAAGAGAAATTATGAATAGGGAATTGTTCAGAGAAAAATAATGGTCATGCTGACTTAGAAAGTTTATGCTGCCTCAGGAAGAGCAGTGGGGAGCTGAATTAACTGTGCCCTGGATGAAACTAGTCCAGAGGTATAGAACTGTGTCAGCTGCTAAGGAAGGGACTAAGATTACAGGGACTTTCTGAAAGTGCTTAATGATGTAGGGGTGGCTGCTCAATCACAAAGCTTTTCTAAAGGGAGAACATCCCATGGCCTAAGTGTTATTTGAAAAAAAAATGCTATCAGCCTCATCTTTTGAAAGATGTTGTAGAGGGAAAAAAAATAAAATTACAGGCTGTACATACAATTTGAATGCAAAATGGGCTCCAGATCCTTCACTGGCTTACTCCATATATCATACACTAAGCATTGTACTAAACCACTCTGGAGAAGAAAGCTTCAAGGTACCTTTCTTTCCAAAGCATGGATCTGGCTATCTACATCTACCTGCACTTATCTGACTCGTGAATCAGCACAAAAATCTGGGTCAGAAATACATACACACACCCAGGCACTTGGCAAAACCTCCTTAGGAAAGAAACAAACAGCCTCATCCTGAAAGAGCTTCAGATCACATCAGATATGTTAAAGTGTAAGCACTGCATATAGGCTGCCACTTTGGAGACTGCCAAATGTACTCCTGAAAGCTTCAGTCAGCTGCCAACACCGTGCTCAGGAACTTGCTGATCCCATCAAGGGGCACACACACTGAAGGACTAACATTGCCAGACATTTAGTAATTACATTTAAGTTGTGGAAAAACATCCAAAGAGCATGAGGATAACCCATTACGAGACACTGCAGAAATAAAGATCAACTTCAAGACAATAATTCCTATAGTAATTAGTGAGATTCCCAGAGGATAATCACAGAAAAGTCATCACTGCTCACAGCAGTGGCAAAAGCACACATACACAGCCAGAAGCATAAACCACAGCCTCTTTGTACTGCAACTTAACAGAAGATGTCCTTTTCTGAGGGGGCAGAAGGGAGTAGGGTGTTTGTTTTCTGCACACAAAGACTAATAGTGCTAACATAAAACTGACACCAGTGGACATGGCATAGAAGCAGACAACCTGAAAGGCACTGAACAACCTGATCTTCTAAATTTAGGGACAAACAAGTGCCACACTGTACAAGGCTGGCCTCTTACAACCTTCTGAGATGGATGGAGAGGCAGGAATTCAGTATTCCTTTTCTTCATCACATCAAAATAAAAATTTATCCACAGACATCAAAATAATAATAACAAAGGATCCCAGTAGGTCCCTCCGAAACTACTTTAATGCTTTATCAAATATTGCAGTGGGTGTACAAGAACTAACAGAAACCAGATTTGATCTTACCAATTCAAGGAGTGAATGATACCGTAACAGCTTCTCCTTCTCAAAGCTTAAAAGCATCCTCCAGAGAAATAGCTCAATAAGGCAGGAGTGAAACAGGTACTGAAAGCCCTGGAAACACCAAAGTTCTAACATATTTCTCAGACAGTTTGGACTTGCTGCTTACAGTTACCTTCTGAGATTATGCATCAATATCAGCATTCTTTTAACTTCCATCATTTCCAAAGGGCTGTTTACTACTTGCACTGAGGCAGAGGAACTCTGGACATTCATCAGTAACCATGACTGCATAGTAACAAAAGGAAGTTGCAGTGCTATCCTTTCTTGCAAAATCCTACCTCTTCTATTTGGTTTGTGAAAGCCATTTTCCAACTCCAAGATGAGGAAAAAGCTTTAAAGCCCTCCATACAACTCAAGGCAGTTCCATCTCTGTCGGATTTTGTTGCTTAAGCAAATGTTACAAGTTGATGACCACCAGGTACTGTTATCACTAAAGGCTAAAAGCTCCTTCCTTGTTCCTTTGAAGGTGCAGCATCTCTTTCTACATCTTCAGAAGAGAGTGATGCCACACTTACCAGGAGCTGCAGGCAGGAGGACATATTCTATAGTAAAAGCCAGCAATGAATTCTGCTGGAAGCAGGAAACTCAGCAGCAGCATGAAATGCAGGAAGACATACTTACAAACTGAACATTCTACTAAATTAAAAAAATAGGGCATTGATCTTGTTATACATTTTCATATTTAGCTACATATTAATCTCTGCGTATAAAGATCTCTTCCCACCACCAATTCTTTATGCCTCAGCAGAATTTCTATTCAGCAGCAGAAATAGCCATGTAGGTCTTAAGTACAAATTGATCCATCTGCTATAAAGACTAACTGCATGTGAGAACACAAGTCCAAGCGAGTTGCCTGTCAATTTCCCCATTCTTGTCTCTTAGCGAGTACCTCCCTCAGTCTGTACGTGAGGAAAATGGAGAAGAAAGCCAGCAACACTTACGCAAGGCGTGCCACTCATCCTGGCGGATTGTCTTGGTGATGTTGTAGGTGAGGTTCTTGGGAATGGTCGCTGAGGAGTAGTGGTACTTGATGTATGAGCACCGCTCAATTGCTCCTGGAAAGGGAAAAATACAGAAGGGAAATTGATGTTACATGAATGCAATATATTCTCCCAGCTGTAGACTAGATGGACCTGACAAGCAAAAGTAAAGACTGAGAGAAAATCAGTCCCTGCCATCAATCCAGTGTGGCAGCCAGTACTACCTTTGGTATATGATAGGCAAAAGCAATCTGTAGGAAAAGCTCACATGCAAAATTAAGATACAACAAAGGCTACACGGCAGCTGTCAGAGCTGTGCTTTCACCACCGGGTAGAACGTGGCAAGTCACTCCTTCTTTCCTTTCTTTTCCCAGAGCCACGAGCTAGCAATATGTGGGCTAGCATTTACCACAGAGAAATCAGAAATTCCCATTGTAGCTTATCTTGCAATAACACTTCTGTGGGCAGGCTTCAGGAGATGTGCAAAGCAAACAGCTTTCATCTTATCTTCAGTAATAAAATCACCACAAGAAAAATACGTATTTATAAAAAACAATTTTTCAGACTACATTCACCCCACAGCCAAGAAGCAAGACGAGCAGAAGCAAGTGTCACTGGTTATGGCAGCCGACTGGAAGGTACCCAGCCACTTTCACAGCAGACTCAAATAGAATTTATAAGCACCTCTGGATAATAGGCTTCAAATGACAACACAAATGGCTGGAACAGGCAACATTTTTGCCCTTAGAATCATAGAATTGCTCGGGTTGGAAAAGACCTTGAAGATTATTGAGTCCAACCACAACTTAACCATACTACCCTAACTCTAACATCCCTCTGCTAAATCATGTCCCTGAGCACCACATCCAAATGGTTTTTAAATGCATACAGGGATGGTGACTCAACCAGCTCCCTAGGGAGCCTATTCCAGTGCTTAACAACCCTTCCCGTAAAGAAGTTTTTCCTGATATCCAACCTAAACTTACCCTGGTGCAGCTTATAGGATTTAATCTGCATTCTATGGAAAAAAACCAACCACGTGCTTCTTCTGCTTGACTTCTGGTCACAAACTCATATTTTCCTTTTATAGCCAATTTTCTTCCTCTACAGTCATCACACCTCCAGGCCATCCTCTTCTGGCAGCTCTCTGCACAGTGTCCTCAGAGGAATGGGCCTGGCATAGCCCAATGCTTTTTGTGAACTATAGCCTCACCAATTTCCACATCTGATTGGAAGTCTGTGACAGCGCAATCATTCTTGCACTGGTGAAAAAGTAGTGAAGTTTTCTGCATCCCTCTTGCCAGTACCCTTAACTAACACTGCCTTCATTAGACCCTCTTATTGAGCATTCAGATTTAAACCTCATGAAAATCATTTTTCCATTAATATTACAGTATTTTGGAACAGCCCTCTAATAATTAAAAAGGCATCTTGAATGCAGTTGTCCACACTGTTTGCTATTAGCTACCACTGTTTAGAGGAGCAACTGCTCTGGAAATGCAGTTATGTTTTAAAAATGCATTAAGACACGCACTCGGTAGAATTAAATGAAGCAATGATTTATGTAAATGAGAGAATAACATACCAAGAAGCATGCAGACCACACTAACTGGCAACAAAACCAAAAAGGCAGAGGCATTAGCCTTACATATAGCTCCAAAGTGTTAACCATGTTTTTACGCCTCTAGAAATATAGGTTTCTGCTTTGGGATGCGAAATATTACTTGGGACAGATTTTGACCATACACCATGAATTCACAGCATGAATAAAAAAAACCCCATGCAACAAAATTATTAGTTACCACTGAGTAGATTAAGCATCCTCCCAAGTTACTGCAATACAGACATTGGAGGTCCTCTCAGTTTGCTTCTTTTAAGCATTCCTCGCATTCTGCCTTTGACAGCAATTAGATCAGACAAAGCCAAATATTATAGGGGAAAAAGGCAAAATATTTACATATGTATCCACCCGCCCTGACAGCGTGATGGGCTTCTGTGTGAATCTGCACCATCTGGGCACCAAATGTACGCCCAGAATTAAAGTTTCAAACCAAGAATAGTATTTGGGGGGGGAAAAAAAAAAAAAAAACCTAGTGTGGAAAGAGCTTTGAAAAAAGCTCTAAAATAAAGCCTGAAATTGCAACCTTGTCTTCACATGGGTTTTTCTCTTCACTTCTGTTTACCTGCTCTCATGGATCAGAAGCATTGGCAAGAAAGTGGAAAAACATTTGTCAGGAAATAATCTTTACATTACCAGACACCTGCCTAGAAAAAGATTGATACAGCTAGCTGACAAGAACACAGAGCCAAGACTCAAATTTAAAGCAAACAAAAGGAAGAGTCTGTAAAAGATTCTATTCCATTGGCTGTGATTTCTTTAAATAATCATCCAGTTTCTAGCAAAGTTAATCAAACATCTCATTTTTACTGCAAATACTTTTAGTAGTAACGCACAGAACTTTTCACTGATTTACATTACCACAGCCTAAAGCACAAAAGATTATGGTCTGAATTCAGATCATCACTTGACCATACATATAATTTTAGACTTATGCTTACATTCCCATGACTTTAATGAGTCTTAAGTATACATTTAGAGACTACCTGGACCTAAGAGTGTGATTGCAGTGGCAGTGATACAATGGTATCCAAAGCACGCTCAACTGTGAGCAGTAAATGCCATGATGATCTCCGTTCCAGCCACACCATATTTGCTCGTTCTTCCTACATCTAAATAAAATTCTGACTACTAGCCAATTAACATCCTGATTCCAACCAAGAGTTTGAAGGGACCAGGAGGGAGAAGTGCTCATTGCAGATGATGAGGCTGGTCACTGAGTGCCCTGAGGGCTGATCAGAGCACGGAATGACTCCCCACATCTGTTGTACTGAAGGAAACAGACCCTTAGGTCAGGCAGACAGGGATGCTGCTCCTAGGTTTTTCACCCTTCTCTGAAGCATTAGGCACGGATTCATTGCTGGAATAAGTCTAACCAATTTCTGGTTACAGAGTCTAACACATTTCTTGTTCATCCTAATCCAAGGTTTTGGGCTCAATAAGTCTACAATACAACAGAGGTCAGCCCACATGAAAGGAACCAGCAGGAAGGCACAGCTAGAAGTGTGCAGAGTAAACTGTTGTACAACCCTTATGAGGATGGGTGCTCAGGGAGGAATCTGCAGTTGTAACTCTGTGGTTGGCATTCATCTGCTCCAGCAAAGTTCAGATGCCAAGTGAAATTGAGCTGAGGGAACTAGAGGTACCTTTACTCAGAGCAGCTTCGCAATGCCACTAAGCGTAGTGGCACTGCACATGCTGCTTCTCTCTTACTGAAGAAAGTATCAGCTTGATTCCCATCATATCTATCTGTTGAGCTATGCTCCATGCTATCACCTTAGTGTATGAATTTCCTCTTCTCTATTACAAAGAAAATCCTTGAAGTGTGCTATAGCAGGAACATCAACTGAAAATATTGTGCAATTCCTTTCTGTGCTGCTCACAGAACTACCCCAATGCTCTTGATGTGAGCTCAGCTGCTGGCAAAACTCTGCTCATTGCTTTGTGAGAGCAGTAAATGCTACCTTTGCAGAGGACCCAAACTGCCAGCAATGCAGGAGTGACTGAACTCTTCTCCCACTCAAAGCCAAACAGGATTGAAATCTATTATAAAAGGAGCTCATGCTGCTGGTATCCATACCGTATGTCTGGTAAGTAAATGATTTTTCTCCAGAACTTTCCATCACCAGCTTCTTTAAGATTCTTTCAGCACTGCTCCGAGAAAAGCAGAGATGAAAACTCAGAATGCCACCCAGGCATTGGTCACATCAATCCTAAAATTTTGTACCTCAGAAGTGCACAGAAGAATTTTCCCCATGAGGCCAGCTTAACTTTTGCAAAGGTGGTTGTCAAGCTTCAGGAATTATACCATCACTGTGCCCATATGGTTTCACCTTCTGCATGACAAGGATCAGCTCCTCTGAGAGCTTTAGTAGTCCTTTAGTTGGTCCTTCACGAAACTGGTAACCTGCAGGAGCAGTTACTGTGTTCTGTGTTCTTAAGTCCTGTGTTCTTAAAAAAAATCACTTCAGATTCAGCCCAAGGTGGAATATCTAAGTTACTTTCATAGGTTATCTGACTAAACTCCCCTCTTGTAAGTCAGAATTACAAGGTTTCCCATTTCCCCCTTCCTCCCTCCCAACTTTCAAGGAGGCAGACTGTGGAACTGTCCTTAAGCTTTAAGTACAGAGCCACCCAACGCCTTGTCAGCAAGTCACATTTGGTAAGTGAAGGGCTCACAGCTACGGAGCATTTCTAACACACTAAGTCTCTTTGCAGCAACTGTAGGGTAAGAATTATCAGGAACCACAGGTGGATGCAAGGAGCCAGCAGCTTATTTACTCTGGATGAACAACATCATTCCAAGCTCCACAACAAGCCAGCACTGACCTGGCAGGCACCTTGGTTTCTGTAGTAAGCAAATACCCAAAACCTAGTGATACCCACTCTTCTCCTGTAATACACACAGTGATTTCTAAGAAGGGTTCAGCTGTAAAGCTAGCATTTGTTTATTATGTTTCCTGCCAGGGCTTTTGATATCATGAGCTTCACTGAAAAGGCTGACGCGGATGTTCTGAGCCTTTGCTACCTCCGGGCAGCTTTTCCTTCTGTTTTGTAGATACCTCTCTACAAACTATTCAGAGCAAGTAATTTATTCCACAAAATTCACCTTTTGTACTGGATCTAATTTTTACATATCTGTTTGAGAATTACTACACAAAGATTTTCTACTAAAAAGAATCTTAGCCTCTGGCTTGTGAGCTGCATTCACTGCATGTATCTGCTATTCATTACGAGAAAATGCCTTCTGTATGAGAAATTGCCTTAATTCCATGTTTTGGTTGCTATTCCTCATTGGGCGAGTATAACTATACCAAGCAAATGGAGGATGCAGTTTGGTCATTTAGCCTCTAGTTGTTTCACATTGTCTTCAGAAAATCTGCTGATTTCGAACAGAAACTGCAATTTTTTTCTTAGCATAACATTTCAGGAAGGTTCCCAGGGGCTGCAGTCATTA